GCTCAACAGCAATTTGTGTTAATGCCAGGTTCAGACAGCGGTGTTTGTGCGAATATTCATCCAAGGATTTTACGGAAAGAGAAAAACACTAGAAGTTCGGTGTTTTATGAACCTGCTTCTTTCCTTGAGGCAGAGTATGATGAGTGTGATGTCAGTTTAATCACGAGCACACTGCTTATTAACACTGGTATCTCTCCACGGCCGGCAAAGTATTATCAATTCAGTTGAGAAAACGTCAAATGGAAACAGACACAGAAATCTGTCAAGCGGGTGCAGCGATGCGGAATTTTAATTGGTCAGTGATGGTAATAAACTGCAGAACAATAATGTTAACTATCTGTCACCGTATCTTTCGAAACACTTATCCTCAATTATGTCTATGAGTGCTCGATGATGAGTGAAAGAGTCTGTGATCTCGGACGCTCAGCTGAGAGACTGTTTCTATAAGCAGACTCAAAAAACAATACAATAATCAGACATATCCTTGTTTCTCAGCGGCTTCCTCTTTAAATTGAAAAATTGCAATTGCGATGATATGAAGAGGTGATGAGTGGTGCTGGAGGAGAGACTCGCAAGGGGTTTTCCTACCCAAAAACCACATTCTACGTGGCAAAGGGTGCACCGAGGGCCTGATGACTTGTGTAAGTCGCACACAGTCATGTTTTGAGATCCATCGATCTTGGACGAACGGACCGGAATATTCTCTTTCTTTATAGAAGCGTGCCCATGGATGCGGTGGCACTGTGAAACTTTGAAAAAGATCATAAATTCAGTGAACAATAAACGCCCCCCCCCTATAATTTCAATGAAAAAGTCGATCACGGAATAATGGGATTTGAATTTGCCGGAAAATTCTTGTAGATGAACTGAAAATTGAAAGTGCAATAAATGGTGAATTCTTACGTCTCTGACAACGACGGAAACACCGTTGCAATTCAGATCAGACATTTGTAGAAAAGAGATATTGAGTACCTGCGGTAACACTTATGAATAGCCGATGAAAAAGCCAAACAAGCCCTGACTCCAACATGATTATAAAGCGCACGTAATTGGATGCCAATTTATTATTTGAATTATTCAGGTTAAGTGTTAGCTGCCTCATTTAGATGATGTATGCAAAATTATTTGCGCTAAATTACTGTAAGCTTTGTAGTTTCTGAATTCATCAATTTCGAAAAACTTTTTGTCAATAGGTGACATACTAGAGGTGAAACATGCAAATTTGCATGTCATCAAAGTCCAATCAAAGGGCTTCATTACGAATAATCAATCGGTTTACAGAAGGATAAACGGTCACCGACTAAGCAACAATAAATATGCATAATTAAGGCTTAAAGCTTGTCACCGAATAGCTTTGCTCTAAAGCAGGTAGATGAACAAGTTGAAAATCAATAAGTTTGCCGTTGAAAAGTTGGAAAAGTAAGAGAGTTAGAAAATCACCTGAATGGGAAACGATTTACGTCTAGGGAAGTTAGGATTCAAAGCAATTCAAAGGCATTAAGCTATTGTTTCCGTAGTCAAACAGCGCAGTAAGTCAGACACGTTTTGCTAGTACCCGTGAGGCAAGGCAACAAAGGAATGAAATGGTGGCGATTGTGATACGACCTTTGGGTGGTCAAGACGTCTTGATGCACAAGTTGCTCACTCATAAACTTGCTTGGTGCCATTGGAATAACTTTCCCGCCTCAGAGCAATAGTTGCAATTGTTTCAGAGAAAAATACTTTCCCTGCTGAGCATTGTATAATACAAAATATATTCTTGTTGTTAATGCAAGACAAATGACGTTGTGAAAATTCTTACTGTAAGTTCATTCACGACATTTACCTTGTGCTGGTGACGGAGCCAGATATCAGGTTGGTCAAGGTTCACGACAGGTTCAGGGCAGCCACTGCATTCTGGTGTATCGAATAACATACATCACATAATTTTTGACTGAACAGACTTTCAGCGTCGTCATCTTCTCCTTTTAGCATATTCTCTCTATGAGGAATCAGCAGTTTGCGTCAATCACTTCCTCTCTTCAATCCCTAATCAAACCATTGGTCATTCTCTGCGGCATCGTACCATTCTTTGCCTTGCTACCATTCTTCCGGCTTTACCGTTTTTCATCGTTCCGCCTTCCAAGGTAGTAAGGCTTTTCGATCAAACTGCGACGTAGCTCTTAGATGTATCTTTTTCCGTTTCCAAAACAACAAGTAGATTTTCCAAACACAGGATTAAACTTAATTCAAATTACGGATTTTGACTTTCCCATGCGTACCAAATATCCATTTCAGCAGTCGCATTTTTTGGAGAGCAAATGTTTTGTCAGCGTTTATTTCTTCAGCGTAGCCAAGCATTGGGGTGCATAGAGTTTACAGGTTTTTTTCCTAGGTTTACAGAGAGAACACCTCTTCTTCTCTCTCTCCATTTCACGAACACATCGTTCCTTGAGTTTATGATTCTCAATCGATTTCTTCCTTTTCTTCTGTCATGAACCCAATCACAGTGCTTGGATATCAGAGA